AGTGAACTAGGAAATAGATCCGAAATACGGAATTGAGCCAATTAGCTGTGATGTTCCCTGAAACCATTACCCCGAACCTCTGAACCAGTGAACCAATAACCATGACGTGTTTACTTGTTTATCGGCAGTCTCAGCAGCTACTCTTTTTGTCGTTGGTGTAAATAGATCTGTGTTGTCTAGTGCTGCCGTCCCAGAAATGCCACAAACGGACGCTTTAGCAAACAGGGATTATTCTCATAGAGTTAAGGGAGCTGGAAGTCCACATTCAGGGCATCAGGTCCAGTGGAAGACTGCTTTCAGCTCTGGGGGAAAGGCCCTTCTCTTCTGGCAACATCGGTGGGCCTGGGTCTAGGACCCAGCGCAGGAAGTTTGCATCCAAAGGGCAAACTCTCCTTTCTTCTGATCCCTGCTAACTTGTTTAATTCTTTCAATATTTCAAAGAGATTGATTCAAGATACCACCTGATTGTAGAGTGCCTTCTGCTGTGTTACCCTGACTTTCTCATCCTGCCTGTTGACAGCATAGGCGTGAGGCCTTCTCCCATCCCTGTAAATCAACACGGAGCACCCCTGGAGCTATCCCCCCTTCGCCTCCCACTGTCTCTGGTAACCGCTAAAAATAAGTTCTGGTTTATACGTTTGCCGTTCTTATTTTTTTGTACAAGTTAGGTAATATAGCATGTGCCCTTGTGATGGACTTATTTCACTCAGCATGTGTCTCTGCTCCCTCCATCTTCTAGCACCTGTATCAGGACTTCACCACGGCTGAATAGGATCCCAGTGTGCGGACCTCTGAGCCACATTTTGTTTGCCCGTTCTGTTGACGGCTGTTCGTGTTGTTTCCACCGTCTGGCTATTGTGTGTAGTGCTGCCGGGAACACGGGTGTTCAACTCTCTAGTTCAGTCTCTTCTTTCAAGTCTTTTGGGCATATCCCTTGGAGTAGAATCGCTAGGTCATATTAGCCTATTTCCCCTATGGCTGTCCCATTTTACATTCGTGCCAGCAGTGGGTCTCAGCGAACTTCACTGTCATGGGTGGGTTCTGACTCAAGTGACCCCGGAGGGCAGAGTAGCACTGCCCTTGGCGTTCTCAAGGCCGTCAGTCTTTATGGAGCAGGAAGCCTCATCTTTCTTTGGAGTTGCTGATGAGTCCAACTAGTGTGTCCACAACTCCCTTCTTGAATGTTTGATGTTAAACATGTAGGTGCTCCAGTGTTGAATAGATGTGTGCGTATGACTGTTAAATCTTGTTGAACTGACCCCCACCCCCTTGTAAAAACCATATAATGTCCATCTTTGTCTCCTCTACCAGATTCTGTCGTAATGTCTACTTTGTTCGATACTGAGGTTACCAGCCACCCTAGCTCACGTTTGGTTGTTAATGACATTGAATATTTTTTCCCTACCAACCTATTCATTTCCTTGGGTCTAAGGCATGTCCTTATAAACAGCATACAGTTGGATGATGGGAGAAGGATGAGGCTTTCTGCTCCCCTGGAAACCCACAGGGTTAGTTCTGCCCTGTCTTGCAGGGTCACTGTGAATTGAAAGCAACTTGCCCGTCGTGAGTTTAAGTTGACAAGTCCTGTCTTTGTGCTTTACTGCTGCTTTCTTTAGTGGTTTGTGGTTTATTCTAGTGAGTAATTCACTTTCCTTCTCTTCTGCTTGTGCGTATTCAATAGACATTTTCCTAATGCTTATCATAAATACTCCATCTTGCAACTCTATAACATCATAGGATAAGTTGGCCCCAACTTAACTTCAGTAACACTTAGGAAACTCAGTACTTAAGCCATTCATTCCCCTCTTTTGTTGTTGTTATCACTATTGCTTTTAAAAATCATTTTATTAGGGACTCGTACAACTCTTATCACAATCCATCCATCCATCCATTGTGTCAAGCACATTTGTACACTTATTGCCCTCATCATTCTCAAAACATTTGATCTCCACTTAAGTCCCTGGCATCAGCTCCTCATTTTCCCCCTCCCTCCCCGCCCCCTTCCTCATGAACCCTTGATAATTTATAAATTATTATTATTTTGTCATCTTACACGTCTGACATCTCCCTTCACCCACTTTTCCGTTGTCCATACCTCAGGGAGGAGGTTATATGTAGATCCTTGTAATTGGTTCTCCCTTGTTACCCCACCTTTCCTCCACCCTCCCAGTATTGCTACTTTTCATCACTGGTCCTGAAGGGATCATCCGTCCTGGATTCCCTGTGTTTCCAGTTCCTATCTGTACCAATGTACTTCCTCTGGTCTAGCCGGATTTGTAAGGTACACTCGGGATCATGATAGTGGGGTGGAGGAAGCATTTAGGAACTAGAGGAAAGTTGTATGTTTCATCGTTTCTACACTGCACCCTGATTGGCTCGTCTCCTCCCCACAACCCACCCTTCTGTAAGGGGATGTCCAGTTGCCTACAGATGGCCTTTCATTCACAATGATACGGCTTTTTGTTCTTTGGCTTTGTTAATCTTTATGGGAGCAGATAGCCTCATCTTTTCCCCTTGGAGCTTCTTGGTGGATTTGAACTGCTGAACTTACAGTCCAGTGCTTATTTTGCAGTTCTGGGTTGAGGAGAGTGTGTCATGATGTCTTCTTATTGCTCTTAGGGGCCTTTCCCCCGTAGTATATTGGAGGTGAGTAGAGCCCCTATTCAAGATTCCTGCTTCCTAGTGTGCTATAGCAGTGCTCAGTGCTGCTCAGCCGGGGAGCAGACAGACCCTGAGCACTAATCCTACTCCACCCCACTGCGGCCTTGCCACATGTAGCTGTGGTAGAGGACTGCCGGGTCTCAGTGAGCACCTGTCGCTGGCCATGTACTGTATAGACAGACACACAGACTCCTTACTTTGTCCTCACCTTCTTGGCCCACTCCCTGAGGGTGGCCTATGCCCTGGGCTTCTGGAGCCCCGGGGTACTGGGATCATACAGGCCCCTTGGGCTCCGGGAAGGCTGATTGCTGGACAGTGGCCCTAAGGAAGGCAGTCTGGTTCCACCACTGTATGTCAAGTTCTTAGCCCCCAAACCTTGGCCTGCACCCCTGTCCTTGAGATCTCAGTCCCTTCTCTTCTGCAGAGAGAGCCAGCAGAGGCCACCTGCTTGGAGCTGGACACAGGGCTTGTTTACCTCCCCAGGAAGCCAGACAGTTGTACCAACAGCTGATAGGACTAAGGGCATGGACCCAGGAACCCCTGCTTACCTCACTTCCCTTAGCCTCAGCCAGCACCCTTCCCCAGCCTCCCACTGCCAGGAAGATCTGAGGGTAGCTTCAGGAGCTTTGAGTCAACCACTGGCTGGACCTGAAGCCACTAGTCACCCTCCAACTGAATGATTGCCAGGGAAAGGCAGGCTCATTTGGGGAGCTGAGCCTGGCAGTTGGCAGGGGCACCACGTTGCAGTAATGGAGACAGATGGCCTGTTGGCAGAGCCAAGTCCTCCCTGGCTATGCAGAGCTACACAATGCCAGGGCCTCTGTGCCAGAGCCCACACCCCAAGACAGTTCTGCACAATCATCTAGGGACTAGTCTATGTGTGTATAAGTGCACGTGCACAGGCACATACACAGATGGACACATACATAAACACACAGGTAGTAGACACAGACATAGATACACAGACACTGGCATATGCATGTACATACCCAGATTCACAGCATTTCACACAGACACCTCTCTGTACACACACAGACCCACATACAGACTCCCAGCATCACACACACACACACACACACTTTGTTCCAGGAGCCCAGGTGGGTGACTTGCCTACATACTTGGAGTCTGT